TGAGGGTAATGAATGTACAAATGTGCTTTATACAATTGATGTATGTATGGATTGTGATAAGAGTTGTATGAGCCCCTAATAAAACAATTAAAAAACACGGTTTGGGAGTACAACGAAACATTAAACACAGGGTCCTAGGACCCAGCAATTCCATCTCCACCCAAGCCCCCACAAAAGCGTGTGTATGTTCACCGCAACGTTACTTGTCATAGCCCCCAAGTGGAAATAACCCCCAACGGTCGACTGATGAATGGACAAAGAAGGGAATCGTTGCAATGGGGAGCGCTGGTGTGCTCTCACAGGAGGTCTCTTGGGAACAGCAAGGAAAGACCGCAAACGGTGATGGAGTCCTGCGACAGGAAGGGCCAGCACAGAGACAGAAGACAGCCAAGAGGTTGTCAATGACTGGGGGGGGTGGGAGGGGGGGATGGGGGTTGGGTTGTGATGAGGGAAAGTAGAATGATGGCTTGATGGGTCAAAGCTTTTCTTTGTTGATGGAAATGTGTTAAAACACAGCTCAATGAATATCAGAATGTCCCTGAATTACGCAATTGGTGACCTGTAGGGCAAGTGAATCTACAAAGGGGGGACACGGGGAGAGGTTAAGGCTATAGAAAAAAAAAAAAATCACAGAATTAGGTTATCAGAATATAATGGGGTTTTCCTCTTCTTTGAAGAAAAGAACTGAAAGACAGGTAGCATCTAATTCTTAGACTGGAAGAGAATTTAAGAGTGCCTTTGGTCCTGTGACGGTGATCCCTGAACAGAAAGGTCCGGAAGAGTGGGCACGTTGGAAGTCCGAGCACGATGACACAAGGGGAAAGCAGTGCTTTGGCCAGCTGCCATTGGAATTAGGGGCGACAACACAAAACCAAGGAGGTTCTAGGGGTGCAATGGGCTACGCTTTGGGCTGCTAACCACAAGGTGGATGGTTTAAAGTTCACCAGCTCCCCAGGAGGACGACGACGATGCTTTTTGCTGCCAGAAAGATTTACAGCTTCGGGAGTACGCAGGGCAACTGTGCTGTGTAGAGTTGCTGTGAGTCAACCTGCTGGCAGTGGGTTGAGTGTTCTTAGCGTAAGAAGTCGGCGTGCATCAGGACCCATAACCCTAGCAACCATTCTGAGAAGCCTGTGCGGGGAAATTCAAGGCTAGTATCACTCACAGTTGAAGAAAGCGTTGAAGTCCTCATCACTGTCAAAATCACACCTGGAGTACTCACAGCTGGGACTGTCTGTTTTAGAAGGAAAGCCCATCTGGAAAGAGAAAGGAGATTGGGGTGGAAGTACACAAGGGAGTCCAAGCACTTTTAACTTTCAGAGTCAAGGGTTTGACGAGACAGTTTAAGTAGCCAATTCTGCTCAACTGCAAGTCCATACTTTGCTCCCAGCTCGATAGTCCTGAGAGTAGCAGACAAGAGAGCAGGTTCCCATTTGTGACATTACCAATTAAACTCTAGGAATAAACATGAAGGACCTGGTATGTTTTATTCGAAAATTGATGAGCCCCTTGGCAGAGAATTGGAATACCGAGTGCTACTTGCTAGGGGAACTATTTGTGCAAATAAGGGTGCTCCTGAATGGTTTTCATTCTCTGACTTTACAAGGGCTTCAAAAGGTTGTGGCAAAGTGGAACTGGAAAACACAAGAAAGTGATGGGATTTTCCAGCAGCTTTATATAGCTCCTTCATATTGCTGCTGTTGTTGCTAGTGCTGTAGTCAATTTGACTCACAGCAACCACCTGTGTCAGCCACTTTATCCACCGATCTTGTTGACAATCTCCCACTTTTTTGCTGTCCTTCCGCTTTACCCAGCACTATGGCCATGCCAAAAACACGTGAGACAAAGGCTCACCATCTATGCCTCTGCGGAACATCTTGGCTGTAACTCTTCCAGATAGACTTTTGTGGGGGGCAGTCCAGAGCACTTTCTTTTCGTAGTGCCGAGTACTTTCAAAATTCTTCATCAGCAACACAATTCAAATGCATCAAACCTTCTCCAGTCTCCTTATTCAATGTCTAACTTCGATATACATGAGGGGACTGCAAGTACAATGTCTTGGGTCAGCGCACCTTAGTCCTCAAAGAAAGCCCTTCCTTCTCAAAGCCTACGATGGTCTTATGCAGATGGATCCAGTGCAAGGCGTCATCGGATCTCTGGATGCTGCTTCCAGGACCACTGCCTAGAGATCCAAGCAAGGTGACACCTTTGACGACCTCCGTCTTTTTCTCTCATCATGTGCTAGTTGTGAAGACTTTTTTCTTCACATCCAGTTGTAATCCATATTGAAAGCTGCAATTCTTGAACTTCATCAGCAAGTGTGTTAAGTCCTCACTTTCACCAAGCAAGGCTATATCATTTGCATATTGTAGGTTGCTAATAAACCTTTCAATCTCGATGCTGAATTCTCTTCTTCATATAATCCAGCTCCCCTGATTATTTGCTCAGCATAGGATACAACCCTGACACACACCTTTCTGTATTTTAAACCATGCAGTGTTCCTTGTTCTGTTTGTACAGCCGACTCTTGATCCATGCACAGATTCTGCGTGAGCACAATGCAGTGTTCACTGAAAACCCGTGGATAGGTTTGTAGGAAATATGGTAAGATACTGAAAAGCTAAGAACAGACGCGGAACATTATCAGAGATAAGTGTCCGGAGACGAGCTCTCAGGCCAGCAGGCACTCAAAAGACGACTGTCTTCTCAGACGCCAGTCGCCCTGGATGACAGGACGGCATAAAGCCTTCAGGATCTCTCTCACCTGCTGATGGGGCTCAACTCAAAGTGAGAATAACAGCTGCAAACATCAGTAATCGGGAACTCAGAATGTGCAGAATGTGAATCTAGGAAAATTGGAAGTTGTCAAAATTGAAATGGAACCTATAAAGATATATATTCTAGGTGTTGGTGAGCTGAAATGTGTTGGCATTGGCCATTTTGAATCAGAAAATCATGTAACTTATTATAACAGGAATGATCGTTTCGAGAGGAATGGCGTAGCATTGTCAAAAAGGGCAGGGCATTTCAAAATCGATCTTGAAGTACATTGCTGTCTGTGATAAGATAATAGCTATCCAAACACAAGAAAATGCGTCAACACATATTATTCAAATTTATGCACCAACCCCTAACGCCAGAGATGAAGAAACTGAAGACTTCTACCGATGCCCCCTCCTACAAGTGGCTCTGAAATACGAAAGGACCCTCGTCATAAGCAGTGTGGGCCGCTTGCTCTCTGAGGAGTAGGAGAACAGCGCGCCCAGAGCAGGGTCTTGGTGCCTGAGGACGGGCTGCCAAGGGTGTCCATGATGTGTGCTTGCTGCCCTCCACATCCTGAGATCCCCACTGCATACCTTCAGCAAGTTAGTCATAGACGCCCGAAGATATTTTGGTATTATTGCTAACAGCAAAGCGTCGCGGGACAGAATCTCATGTCTGAACAGGGCTCCCCAAGTCATTTGTGTTGAAGAACGTAGAAACTGAAGGGGAAAAAACCAACAACAAACAAAAAACTTCAGAGTGAAGATTTGCATTCTATCTAACCAAGATAATTATTTAGGCTGACAGCTTTCATGTCCCACCCCCATCACAACCATCTCTATATTTTTTTCTTTCCATCTATATATTTTGTAGCCCCCCCCACCCCCTTTACTGCAAAGCTCGCTATGATGCACATTTTATTCAGACTAGTCTTGTGCGGGTCAGGTGCCATTCCAGGAGTGTGGGCAGGACTCTCAGGAGTCCTGGTAGCACTGCAGGCGAAGCACCAGGCTGCTCTCACATGTGAGGAGGAGGGGGATGTCTGCGTTAATAAAGTTCTAAAGTATCAGAATCCCTAACATTAAGAATCAACTTATTAAAAGAAGCTGTTCTACTCTGTCCTACGTAGAGTCTCCGAGCCAATGGCAGTGGGTTTGGGGTTGTTTTCGGGGGAAGGGGAAGCCTTAACTCTACCACTTCCTATCTCAGTGCCTGAATTTGGTTCACAGACTCTTTGGAGACATTACCTGACTTGGATGGATTGTGAAAGCAAGAAAGGACTCTAGGTATTTTCCAAAGTTTTCTGGGGTCTTTACATCAGAATCTACACCCTGTGGGAAGAAAAAAAAAATTACATTAATAATGCTTATGTGTGAAGGGAGGGGACCAGGAAAAATGTAAACACATCTCTTTGGTCAAAGACAGGCATCATTTCAAGGGCCATCCAATTTATTGCCTCAATCATCAGTAAGACCCATTCTGTGCCTAATTAGTAAATTGAAAAAGAATATTGCTTTTGGAAATATAAAAGAAAACCCCTCTATCCCCCCCTCGTAGAGAATCGCTCTGTGGATCACCCATTAAAAACACCACACTTTCATGCCATCTCAAAACAGCAGACATGAAATCCCAATGTTTGTCTCAGGGACCCCGCTTGTGAGACTGTCAAACGTCATTCCATTGGCACTGGGGAAAGCTTCTTCATTCGCACTCTGTTTTAGAAGGGCCAGGTACTTGGCAGACTAATCGACAAGCCGAACAGTTCACAGGAGACCCGACATTGATGTTTGCTTTTAGTAACTGACTTGTTCAAAGAAACTTACATCACACAAACCCTATTACATTACAACAATTGAGCCCACAGAAACATCTGATACAATCTGTAGTCTACTACCTCATCAAACTAAACTTAATGGCACCTGTCGCCTGCTTGCAAATACCATTTCTACCTGCTCTCTCCCGAAGCGCCCAGGAAGGAAGTGCTCACCAGCAGTGCACACAGTTGATTGCCCAGAGCACACAACACCTGACAGAGCCTCTTCAGGAAGACGTAGTGTTTCTCTACCAGGCCTCCTCCGTCAGCAGTTCTGTAAGACACGAGTGTGATGAGTCCTACGTCAAGAACCGAGAGCCTTCCCATCAAAGGTGCTCTACGTGCTTTGGGCCTCAGCACTCAAATTCCAGGAGGTATTTCAAATCAAAGACCCAACCTACCAACCAAACCAAAGCAGAACAACAAAAAAATCTCAACCAACACTCAAAGACTGCAGTCTCGAACCTGGAGAGACATTCTCCTCAGGGATTTTGAGATGCTAATGTAAGCTCTGAATATCATATTAAATAATACATATGCTTATACATTAGAATGCACAAAAAAGTACCTGCTGATACCTACGGAAACTTTAGAGATCATGGGGGGAGGGGCATGTAAACCATTCCGTATACCACCAACACAAGAAGGGTGTTAAAAATATGACTGTGTCTCCATTTAAAAAACCATTCAGTCAGGTCTGCAAACTTTTATCTACTTTAGACTCCAAATAGGCCTGTTAACTGGGTATGTGTGCTGGGGGTGGGGTGTCATTAAACTTATTGGATGGCCGAACCTGACCTGCAATGATCTCAGACTAGTCACACCAGTCACAGGTGACAATCACTTGTGTGAATAAGAAGAGCCCTGGTAGCACCGGGGTGAAAATGCTCGGTTAGAAGCCTAATGTTACCTGACATGGGCAGACTGTGGGGAAGTGTGGCAGGATGGGATAGGTCTACTCCATCCTAGCTCACTGCTCTAAGTAGGAACTGACTTGCAGAGTTTTGTTTAGGATGTGTAAGCGTCCCATTAGCTGCCTTTGGAAGCACCAGAGTCTAACATAAGAGGCCTGTGCTCAGGTAAGTAAGAGCTGCTGACGTGGCGTTAAGGGATCCTATACAAGATCCGGAGTCTGACGGCCTGGGTTTGGACCGTGCCTCCACTAACTACGGGGATGACACGTGCCTGCAGCACACAGAGAGGGCGGGCTCCTTGGTATAAAGGTCAGGCTCTCTTACAGAACTTAAAAAAGGCCCAGAGACAGTTCCGACAGTGCCCTCATTTAATTACCAGGATCCTTAACAACAGCACTGCGGCCTCCACGGGGACAAAGCGCCACATTTCAATGGGAGTAAGAGAGTTTAAGATGCTCAGTTGCACCCCTTTTCTTTATCCTTGGGACCAAAAGTAAGGGAAGGGGAGCAAGAGAGGGCAGCAGGTCCAACTAATTACCAGGCACATTTCCATTCCACTCCCCGGTAACAGGCACACACCAGGAGAGGCTTAATGTTTCCCACAGCAAGTGGGAGCCATGATTTACAGACATCATGGCACACACTGTCAGGTCCCATGAGCGCATTGACAGGACACACACAGGGACAAGGACACAGACATAGACACCCCTCCTCACTTTGTTCCGTTACTTCCAAGAAGCCCCGCACTGCAGGCATTGACAGGGAGAGCACCTTGCCAATCTGCACATGGGGCTGGCCTGGGGACAGGTAGTCCAGCAGATCAGAACAGTGCCTGGATCGGTCACCCTGGCTACCAAGAGCTCCAGGCATCAAGAGAATCAGGGAGATGAAGTGGAGGGGGAGGAGCTGTGAAAGTGAGTGGTTGCTAAGTCAATAACCACAACTTATTTCTAGCAAACGATCTTCCTGAAGACTAGCTCACTGGCATTATCTAAAGACACAGTTGACGACAGAAGATGACCAGCATTTGGGCAGGAACTTCATGCACATCCACGGGGGACAAAAACGCAGTGGAAAACATACAGGAAAAGGCTACTCACTGTGCAGCAGAAAGTATGTAGTGCATGGCCACATCTCCAAACAAGACCATCAAGGGCTTCCGGTCTTCCAACTTGCCCTGGAGCCAATTTTAGACACACGGTCAAACAAACGGCATCATTCACAGCTTCTTAAGTACCAACGTCTTCTCCACTTATATCATCAAACCTAGTGACTTCATCATTTCTCGTCTACCTGAGGACTGACTGAATACTAGAAAAAGGCCGGTCACACCTGGATGACAAAGAGAGGTCCTGGACAGAGTAGGAGAAAAATACGAACAAAACTCAAAATCATAAAAAAAGATCAGCCTGGGTGGACTGATAGGAGCCCTGGTGGAGCTGTGGGTCAGGCACGGGCTGCGATCCGCCTGAGAAGCATGAGGCTGTCTGCTCCCACGAAGATGGACAGGCTCACAAACCTAGCCGAGGCACGACGAGTCAGAAGCAAGTTGCTGGCAGTGGGTGGCGCTGGCCTGAGAGAGACTGGTGGGCATCGTTGAAGCGATGGCCGAGTCACCCTTCCCACGGGAACTGAGCACACCTCCACTGCTCAGCTTTCAGTCAAGTGATCAAGGAAGGAAGTCCTATGAAAGGAAGTCCAGTAATGGTGGGGAGGTGGGCACTGGAGGGCGGGAAGAAAGAAGGATGCACCAGAGTCCACACAGGGAGGATGTGGGAGGAGTGCTGTTGGAGATGCCCACAGTCCAACTACTCTATTATACACTTCCATCCAAATCACAACAGAGTTAAAACAACAATACCCAGGCAGGACTTAGATACTTCAGTCCATATCCACAGGATAATATCTCCATAAGGAAGCGAGCCGTGATCTCGTCAGTTTTCCAAAACACATAGTCACCTTTCAGACTCTCTGACACAAAACTGTTAGTCTTAAATCTTAGTACTTACCACTCTCATCTCCTATAGGTGAAGTACCCAGATTCATATTTGTTTTAAGAACCAATCAGGCTGATAAATTTCTGAATATTCTACCACATCTCTGAATATTCCTAGAACATTGGAACACTACTGCCACAAGGGATTGGAGACAGGCAAGAAGTTGGCCTCAAAATACACATCACAACAACCAATCATCAAACCTGTGGATGCCTTCATGATGCTCTGCCGGATTATGCAATTTGACACACCAAGGCCCGATATTATGAACAAGATCCCTTCCCAGGCGTCCTTACGTTGGATTTGTAGGAGGGTGAAACAGGTGCACAAGATACTTATTTTGCCTTACTTTAGTTTAAGAAAGGAGTCCTGGTTGTGTGGTGGCTTAAGGGTAAGGCCTGTGGTTCACACCTGGGAGCCCAGCCACAGGTGAGAGACAGGTCTGCTCTGGTGATGATTTCACCTGGGCCCCTTCTGGAGCAGCTGTCTCACAGGCTCACTGAGTGGGACGGAACTGACGGGAGGGCAATGGGCTTAGTGCCAACCCCCTCCTCCACAAACTCAAAGCCTTTCTCCAAAGATTGAAAGCCGCACATACAGCCAATAAAGGGGGTGTGAAGAATTTGTTTCAAGTAGGGGTTGGAAACGGCTTCATGGTGAGGGCAAGTCTCTAGAACAATAAAGGGCAAGGCTGAGTGGTCTCCCAGGAGTGTATAACCTGGGGGCTTACTGTCCTTAGAGAGGCTAAGGGCAAAGCAGTCAGCTTGCAGTGGGACTTACTTTTCTGCTGACTGCAATGAGCAGACACTCGGCTGCTCCCAACTGCAGTTCCTGTTCATTCAGAAGCAGACACAGCATCTCCAGCAGTTTACAGTTTTCAGCAGTGATGTGATTCATGGACACCCAGTCAATGTAGCCGGCTAGAGTATTCAGGGCCGCCACTCCGACGCGATAGTTTGCTTGGGCCTGCGCGAAAAGAAAGCCTCCTTGACCATGAATTCCTCACGGATGGACATGCTCTACTTTTTGCTAATTCTAAAGGGCTTCTTTCTTTAACGCGCCCAAGTCATACTCACTGATAGGAGGTTTCCTTCCGATATGTGATTGCTTCCCAAGCACTGGTATTCTCAACAAGACTGTACTGGCATGTGTGACACTTTTCCTCTTTCCAGAAATCCCAAATGCTGTCCCCCGTGCGCCGCCCCGCCAACCCCCTCCCCTCCACAGCCGAGTTGACCCTCCACCAGGCCTATGAAATGAAGCCCTGGGGCACAGTGGTTTGTGCTGACGGAAAGGCCGGTTCAAACGGCAGCCCCATGTGGGACCAAGATATGGCAGTGCGTCTGTGAACATCTACAGCCTTGGAGACTCTGAGGGCGGCCAGAACCGACGTGACAGCCATCACCCTACTGGGGGAACTCACAGACCCTCCTGATCCTCCTCACGGCTCATACCTTAGACTCCTGAGCAGCGTCTGTCTTCTGAAAGACAAGAAGCATACGATTCAAGGTTTTCAATGAGCAACAGACTAGGTAATAATTCCTGCTCCTCCCCTGGAAAATAGGTCCTTGAATAGTAATTCTCAAATATACAGATGACAACTTCGAGTCTTGGAAAATGTTACCCTGACTAAGAACAGACAACTGCCATTCCTGTAAGGAGGGCAGGCAATTTCAAATTTTGCAATACAATAAAAAGCATTTTGAAAAGCCTATACAAACTTGTCAGCGAATACTAAGATTCACAAATCTAAGACTGACTGAACACAGCTAATAAAGGTGAACCGCGAGTAACGTGGATGAAGCGCCAATAAAACGGTTACAAAGGAAGAAGACGGACAATGAGTAAGGCTCAAGAGTGATGAAATGACAGGTTAAAACAAAGCCCCACTTTCCATGCTAAAATACAAAGAAACTCTAACTGCCCAGGGTACACTGAACTGGCACGGTGCTAATGGGCTGGGGGGTGGGTGATCAAGACAGATCTATATGCATACAATCTTTGAATAGTAGGTGTGGGCATATGATGGGGAAAATCCTGTACAAAAATACAAAAAAATCCCAAAAAACTGCACACACACACACCAAAACACTAAGCACAAAGTATTATACACTAAGTAATCAAAATAATGGTTATCTCAGTGTTGTGTAATTATAGTTGGTGTTGATCCTCATATTGCAACTTCCATAATGATGCTACAGAGTGCTTATAATTCATGAATATATAAAGTTACTTTCCCTAGAAGCTCCTGAATTGAGGAGTATGTATAATCACTGAAGGCAGGTAAAGGGAAACAAGGCAAATGGGAGCAACAACTCCTGAAGTACCTGGAAACGCACCACCCCTGGGACCACCAGAGACTCCCCGCCCAGCCCCTTCTCTCAACCTCCCACAGAGGGCAGTTAGAGTCTGCGGGAGGCTGCCACCACTCTCGTCAAGTAGAGGCGGATGGGGAGAGCTGAGGAGAAACACCACCAGCACCGACTGATGTGTGCACGGAAGGAAAGGGATCCCGTGACTAGTCAGGTCCAGCCCCCGCCCTCTCTGCTGCCGTGAACTCTGACCCTCTGTGCTTCCGGGACCCGTGGAGGAAGGAGCCAGAGTAGTGGGACGTGGGGCGCGCGCCTATCCTCCCCATCTCTGTTAACCACTCAATCCATGCCTCCACTGGGAAGGCAAAGAGCCTGAAAGAGTGAGCACACCAAGCAGCACTTGATGTGTGCTGGTCCCGGGCACAGGGGGTCCTGGTGTAGTAGACCGAGAGCCAAAACCAAAGCTAAGGAAGGAGACCACAGTGGGTATGTTTCTAATTGGTGTCATCTTGTGCTGCAAGAATACTTCAAGCCAGATGGCTGAAAGGAAGATAATCTGAAAGTGCATGAAAATCAATGAACTTGACAAAGTATTCCAGTCACAAGCAACAGGCGATCTTTGATGTGACACAGCTGTGATACTGCTTGTAAAAAATGCAAGGTCACGCGTCTTTAAAATGTTTATGCACTACAAATCCCAACTCCTTTGGCATTTTACCACTAACCTATCAATTTTCATAAATCCCAGAGTAATAGCTCAATTCATCTTATGTGGCTGATCTGCAATTTACTATCCTGTTGCGTTAAAACATTCTTTTTTTTCCTGTGGAATGTTAAAACTTCCAAAGAAAAGGATTTGAAACAGACAAAAGTCTACACATATGCAGTTACTAGGCTCCCACCACGAGCCATCACGCTATGCGATACTTCTTGGCTCACAAAACACACCGGAGCTCTGACCCCGTCCCATGAGTGGGTCCACATTACAGAGGGCACGGACAGGGCTCTTCTGTGTGACAAAGGTTCCCCTTCTCCCAGGGATTAAACTGGGGGCACAAAAGAACAGCCCCTTAATACGCATGCTTTTAAATGCAAAGTTTTTGGCAAGTTTACCATTTAAGAATCTTTTAAGCTTTTTTGGACAAAGACTATACCTCATAGAAAAAAAATAAGACTTAGAGGGAACCGATTACATGGAACTGTGTGTGACCTCCTCCCTGGGGGACAGACAACCGAAAAGTGGGTGAAGGGAGACGTCGGACAGGGCAAGATATGACAAAATACCCATCTATAAACTATCAAGGGCTCATGAGGGAGGGGGGAGCGGGGAGGGAGGGGAAAAATGAGGACCTAATGTCGGGGGTTTAAGTGGAGAGAAAATGTTTTGAGAAACGATGTACAAATGCGCTTTACACAATTGATGTGTGTATGGATTGGGATAACAGTTGTATGAGCCCCTAATAAAATGTTAAAAAAAAAAAAAGAAAATAAAATAAATAAGACTTCAATTCTAGGTCAACCATTTTTCAGAAGGAGAATCTTCCATCATCATCATATGCTGAGCTTTGGTGCCTCACCTGTCATACAGGTATAACCGTTTCTGATGCTTAGCAATACGCTGATGATCACCATAGGGTTAGCATGCAAGTGGCCCTCACAGAGCCCACATCACTCATAGAAAACAAACACACGGGGGATTGTGTGATTTGCAAAAATACACGCAAACAAAAAACCATACCAAGTGTAGAACATGGGCCACATTTGCACAGAAATACAGTAATGAACTTATCAAGTGCCAAACAAGCATAAGGAATGGCAGTGCTCCCAGAGCTCCTCCCCGCCCCCTTCCCTCTGAGCAGCTCAGAGGCTCTCTGCTTCACCATCCTCTGAAAACAGACCTAGTGAAGCTGCCATGGGCATAGCAGCCAATTCTGTTTAGTCTACTTTGTGAAACAAGAACTTCTGAGAATGCTAGATTGGGGTTTCTCGGCCTCAGCACCAAGAACAGGGTGGATTAGACAACCCTTTGTTGCCCTGTGCACTGTAGGATGCTCAGCAGCCTAACGAAATGCCAATAACCACCCCAAGCTGTGACAATGTCTCCAATGTGCCACAGAGCGCGGCACAGCGGCCCGGCGGAGAACCGTCACCTCAGGTTCGCTCTCACGCTCGTTCTGAAGAGGCTCCGCTGACCGAGCACATCCTACTCAGCCTTTTCTGCAGAAGAAAGTGGAGGTCAAAAACATCTAGGACTGCAGTGACTGGTCTCTCTCCGTCTAGAGCAGCAGTTCTCAACCTGTGGGTCGTGACCAATTGGGGGTGTGTGTGTCAAATGATCCTTTCCCAGGGGTTGTCTGATTCATAACAGTAGCAAAATGACAGTGATGAAGTAGCAACAGAAATAATGTTATGGTTGGGGGTCGCCACCACACGAGGAACTGCATGAAAGGGTCGCAGCATGAGGAAGGTTGAGAACCGCTGCTCTAGAGGAACGAAAACCCAAAATGGAAGTCACATGGGTACACTAGTCCAATAGTCTATTGGATGGACCACGCAAACCCAGTCTCCTCTACTCTGGGACTGGTACCCAGATGGTGCCAGCCAGGACTACCAACTGCTCTGAAGGGGAGTCTGTACAGAAGGTCTTGGATGGAATGTGGGACAAAACTCAAAATTGTCAAAAAACAAAACGGGTTTCCTCCTCAGAGACACCCCCATGGGGGCAAACCCTTAACCTCTGGGTATGAACTCTGACCCATATGCCTCAATTTTTAGCCAAACAACAGACAGGATTATACGGGGAACAGTAACCCTTAAGGATCCTCTAGTTCTTTCATGCTCCCTCCCCACCCCCACTATCATGATCCCAATTCTACCTTACAAATCTGACTAGACCACAGGATGTACACTGGTACAGAAAGAAACTGGAAACACAGGGAATCCAGGACAGATGATCCTTTCAGGACCAGTGGTGAGAGTGGCGATATACCAGGAGGGTGCAGGGAAGGTGGGGGAGAAAGGGGAAACTGATCCTAAGGATCTACACATAACCCCCTCACTGGGGGACGGACAACAGAAAATTGGGTGAAGGGAGATGTCGGACAGTGTAAGACATGAAAAAAAAATTATAAACTATCAAGGGTTCATGAGGGAGACGGGGCATGGAGGGAGGGGAAAAGATGAGGGCTAAGTAGAAAGCAAATGTTTTGAGAATGATGAAGGCAACAAATATGCAAATGTGCTTGACACAATGGATGTATGTATGGATTGTGATAAGAGCTGTACGAGCCCCTCCAAAAATGATTTAAAAAAACAAAACAAAACAAAAGAATCACTCCTGTGAGATCAAAGGGGCAGCATTTGCTCCAAGACCAAGCTCAGCAGGGTTAGGAGAGAAGGGATGGAAACAGGAAACGGGGAGGACATGGGGTGAGCGATGACTCCGTGTGGGACTGCTATCAGTGAGATGAAGGGCAACGTGCCCACCCACAGTAAAACACATCAAAAGAAGAAAGAGAAACCAGCAAGGTTTGCTGCAGCCAAGATGGACACAGGCGTGGCCCTGTGTGTCCTCGGTGCCGGGATGGAGACAGTCACTTCAACAAGGATCACCCCACCCAGGAGAAACCAGGGCTACCACATATTCAGAATGAGCCTTGATTTTCATATTACGTTTTCTTACTGTGAAGGACACCTTCTCTTTCCGAGCACAGAAACTCACAGAACTGATTGGTTAGAAAAGGAGTTCACTTTCCCTCCCAGCAACCCCTTTCTTTTCTGCATGTGACATGGCCCTTTCTTTCTGGAGAGTACACACCCTAGCTCCTTGCTGAGGGGTGGGGAAGGTAGCCCTTACCACTTGCTGGTACTTGTTTAAATTCTCTTGAAGGGTGTTAAGCAGGTAACTGAAGATCCTTTCCATGTTCTGGGTGAGTGTTTGCTGGATGTCCCTTCTTCTCTGAGGGGGAAGTGTCTGAAAGGTCACCACGTCTTCTGCCAGTCGCAAAAGAATGAACATCACTAATTCTGTCTGTGTTTCCTACAGCAACAGAAATAAGCTGTTTAAAGCGGGTGCATAAGCAAATGTGGTGAAGAAAGCTGATGATGCCCGGCTATCAAAAGATATAGCATCTGGGGTCTTAAAGGCTTAAAGATAAACAAGCGGCCATCTAGTTGAGAAGCAGCAAAGCCCATATGGAAGAAGTACACCAGCCTGTGTGATCACGAGGTGTCAATGGGATCAGGTATCAGGCATAAAAGAACAAAAACTCAAATCATTGTGGTGTGAATGAGATGGAGTGCAGAGTGGAGACCCAAAGCCCATCTGTAGGCAAAAATGGACATCCCCTTACAGAAGGGTCGCAGGGAGGAGACAAGCCAGTCAGGGTGCAGTGTAGCAATGATGAAACATACAACTTTCCTGTAGTTCTTAAACGCTTCCTCCCTCCCACTATCACGATTCCAATTCTACCTTACAAATCCGGCTAGACCAGAGGATGTACACTGGTACAGATAGGAACGGGAAACACAGGGAATCCAGGACGGATAAGCCCCTCAGGACCAGTGGTGAGAGTGGTGATACCGGGAGGGTGGAGGGAAGGTGGGGTAGAAAGGGGGAACCAATCACAAGGATCTACATATAACCCCCTCCCTGGGGGATGGACAACAGAAAAGTGAGTGAAGGGAGACATCGGACAGTGTAAGACATGGCAAAATAATAATAATTTATAAATTATCAAGGGCTCGTGAGGGAGGGGCGGCGGGGAGGGAAGAGAAAAAATGAGGCGCTGATACCAAGGGCTCAAGTAGAAAGCAAATGCTTTGAGAATGATGAGAGCAACAAGTGTACAAATGTGCTTGACACAATGGATGTATGTAAGGATTGTGATAAAGAGTTGCACAAGCTCCCAATAAAAAGATTTAAAAGAAAAAAACCTTTTAAACGAAACGCCCCCTAATAAAGATAGCATAAAAACCCTGAGGATTTACGAAGGGTATACTGAATTAATTCCTTGGTCCTTCATACCCCTTGTTTGGAAAGTGTATCCAATTCCACCAGCATGTCCGGCCAGTGCTGGGGCCACTCTCGCTTGATCATTTCCACTACAATTCGAGACAGCACATCTTTAATATGGTTTTCCTCTTCCAAAATGTTTAATGTTCCCTGCAAAAGAACAAAAAATATTGAGATCTGCCACAAGTGAATTCCCACAACACGTGGCTGTGAAAGGGCAGAAAATTCCCGAGCAGATGTGGTTTCCGACTACACACAACAAACAAACCCGTTCACCAAGTCTGAGC